AAATTATACAATTTAAATAAAATATTTATTTATTTATTTATTTATTTATCTATTTATTTATTTATTTATTAGCAAACACAAATTATCAACCATCTGGGATAGGCTCTTATACTAAGTTTTAGCCTTTTGTATGCCTGGTTTAGTATTAAATGGTTCAAAATCATTTTTCAAACCAGTGAAAACATTCAAGGTTGCCATTAATATTTTCTCCAATTACATCACCAAAAAAGGGGAACCCATACATATACGGTACAATTTCACATATCAGAATCTGTCAGGAGATGGCTTCAGTTTATTAACTTTGTTGTCAGATAACCTCTGTCTTTTCTTTAGGATATTCAGATTATATTATCAAATCATACATGACTGATAAGAAAAGAGATAGCATTCACCAGAAATGTGTTAGGTGTGAAAATTGCTGTCGCAACCATTGTGTTGCACTCAATCAATTACCCAGACTGCATTGCAACACCCGGAAATAAACAACATAAAACAAAATCTGCTGCTGCGTAATTCTCTTGTAACGATTTAACGAGTGAGACATTTAGTGAATTCAATCAAATTTGAAAGGTAAGGCACATAATGCATTTTCTATTACTTTTCTTAGTTATGGGGCATGCCATGTCACGTACGTTATCAGGTCCGTTGTCTTAGTTTTCTGCCTCAAGTTACAACTGTTTTTGTCATGTACCGACTGCAAGTCTAATTTTGCCCATTTTTTGTCTGTATCAAAATGCCGGTAGATATAGGAATTTAAATTCCACTCACTAAAACAGATAATAAGTTCAACTGCTGCAAGTTAATATAACGTCAGATAGGAAAAATTGAGCTGAAAGTGCGTTCAGTCCCGACGACTTACCGGTAGTATTCAATTATTGGTTTAGCCCAGTTTCTATTTTTCCTGCCCAAATATAAAAGTTGCGAAGATAAGTACGTCTTAGATATATATTTTATATTTATAACTGCCAAATTAAATTAGATTTCGTCCAAAACTTTTAAAGGGACACCAAAGTTAGTATTAGCACTGACATTCTTGTGTTAGAAAAGCATTTTACTGGTACTTTTTGATACTAGTACACTTCACTTCACTTCATTTAAAGGGTACATATTCAGTGTGGAGCTGGCTGTTGGCATGGCTGTATATTTTGGGAGTACATGTTCACCTAAGACTTAAA